GACTTTAAGCTCCCACTGGTGGTGTCGTTTCCGTGGAGCCTTTTCTGACGTGCTGTAATGGCATCGCGCAAGTGTACTAATATTCTCAATTGGAAGACCTCAGCTCAGATGAACAGATGATGTAAAACAAAGATATGGAAGCACGAGGCGACAAATCGCACCAGATAGACAAGCGTGGATAGTGAGAATAAGCATGGTAATTCCCATTAACTGTGAAGAAGAATCAGTCAACTGCTGTTAAAATATATATTACTACAAGTCACAAACGGGATAAGAACGCATAATGCACAGGCCTTCGTGATGGCAGAAGTTCGTTCATCGTTCAGGTCAGCTGCAATCTGCAGCAGGTGTGGCGCACATATACATACATATGGGCGACGAATTTGAAATATAAAACAACCTCTATAGATTACCTGCCGAGTAAAGTAGCAAAAACACGAGCCCCGAGAGGTACCAAATCCATTCAGTTCCACAGTAGTGAAGAAGACGCCAGGCAAGAGAAGACGTCTCCTTGACAGCGAGAGGTATTTGAACTGGATTCATCGAAACCATCCTCTGTACTGTAGTATCTTTTTCTTTCTCTTGGTCTTCGGTCAGACTTGAAATTTCATCTGATTTAAAGACACGGTTCGGAGTAGTTTGGGTGGGAGATGGAGACGAACACTGAAAGTAACTTAATATGTACAGAAATAGAGCCGACGCAGCTATGTTCCAGCAGAACAGTGCCCAAAACCAGTAGTTCGTCTTTAAATATTCTGTGTCCTCGCTGACGATCAACAGCTTCAGAGGCGAATAGATAATCATGAGAATGGTCAGTGAGAGAAACACAGTTGAACAGCCGCCAAGAATCGACGACATCTCCATCGGCTTGCACGCCATGGCTGCAAAACAGCAGAATTCAACAGCAGCCCGCAAGACTGATATGACAACGAAATCCAAGGTACTACGCCGCGTCACCTCATCCAGCGTGTTCCACGAGCCGCCGCTTCGCAGGCACAACACCACCGACAGAGCAACGTCGATGACAGCGACCAGACAGACCCGAAACCAAGTGCAAGGGTTCATTTATTGTTTTACTTCAATTTGGAATCACTAAATCTTTATTTGATCCATCACTACAGCAGTTCAGCCGTTATCATCGCCTGCGCCCACATGATACAACGTTTTCAGCAAAAACTGCATTATAAAAATCACGTGCTACCGTATCGTCGAAGATAAGTAGGATAAATAAATAGTCTGCGTCAACGTTGCTTCACAACATCGGTGTTAGCATATTCTACTCCGCTAATGCAATGACAGTAGAAGCACGCGAAAATCAATGATAATATTAATGAATTTTAACTTCGCTTATTCTTTTATTGTCCAGATTATAAATATCGCAAATCAGGCAATAATTTACGTAATCAGGCTTTGCTTCAAAGCAGCTCTTCCAGGTCTTTCTCAGCCACTCCCTTTCATTGACAGCCTGTCCTTTTGGATCGCACAGCCAAACCTATCAGACGGAACTACTTATGTTCCCGATCTTGTGACAGCATCCCATGTTCGACAGAGAACAATCGGATTCTAGAACAAACTGCTTCAGTACACTTGTGCTAGGTCAGTCTTAGCTGCCAAACGGGTCTTCCGTCAGACGGTTGGGCAACTATTTGTGAGACTTTTGTTTTTGAAGACATATGCAACAAGTTACCGAGCAATTGCATCTGTGATACTCAGTATGAAGAAGCACTGATTGAACGCCAAGCATATCTCTGGCATCTGTATTCCGTACTATGTCGAGATGCATTTCAGCGACGTGTTTCAGAAGATCCATTTCAACCACTTGTACCCGGATTCAGTTTTTCAGCTATGGCCCACTACTTATGAACGTAAGTGAGCATGGAAATTGAAGTCGACTTGAACAATAAGAACTTTCTCTTTAAACTCAATTCT